TTTTTGTCTTTTCTTTTTTGGTGCTGGGATCGAACCCAGGGCCTCACGCATGCTAGGCAAGCGCTGTACCACCGAGCTACATCCCAGCCCAAGAGAGAAATAAGAAATGGAGATGGAGGGGGGAGGGGAGAAGGGAGGGAGAGAGGGAGGGAGAGAGAGAGAATTTAGCTGACTCCATCTGAAAAATAACCTAAGGCAAAAAAAGGAGTGGCTCAAATGGTAGAGTGCTTGACTAGCAAGCACAAGGTTCTGAGTTCAACTCCCTCCCATAAAGAAAGAAAGAATAAACATGATTTTCTGACTTCATGGGTAATGAACTATGCTAACTTCTAGAATTTTATAAAGAAGGCAAACTCCCTTCTGATGAGTTCATTAAAAAAAATGAATTTGCTTTGCTCCTATTATATTCCTTATTTCTTAAATATATTCTATTAGTGAGCATTTAATTATAGCCTAGAGAAAACTATTACTGTACAATAGCTCAAGGAAAATTCCTAAAAACATTTAAATAGTGGGATGCAATTTTCAGAATAACCTGAGCCTGGAAAGTATAAGTAACATGTTCAAAAACCTCTCATCTCAGCTAGAGATCTATTACTAACTCTATGTAATAGTTTTGTTGCTGAGAGAAGAATTCCTTTGGTCAATCTACTACAGGTTGAGCATTCATTCCTAACCTGAAAATCTAAAATCCAAAATCCAAAACTCTGACAATGCCATGAGTGGAAAATTCTATACTGTGAACTTTGTTTTGTGCACAGAACTATAAAAAACTTGCATAAAATTACTTTCAGACTGTGTGACGAGGTGTATATGAAACAACTGATTTTTGTGTTTTATACTTGGGTCCCACTCCCAGCACATCTTGTTATGTATACATATGTAAATATTCCAAAATCTGAAAAAATCTGAAATCTAAAACCCTTCTAATTCCAAGCATTTTGGATAAGGGATATTCAATCTGTATACTGTGATTTACTTCAGAATTAGGGAGAGATGATCAATAGTTAAATACTTTGTATTATGAAATAAAAAAGTTACTGCAGCTTTTTGGAAATAGTACTTTAAAGGAGACAAAAACTACACGTATCGGTTTTAGATGTTTGCAGAAGTATAGTCAGTTTTGCTATGAATTCAGAGTCCATAAAATGTAACCTGGTCTGGCATGATTTTTTTTTTTTTTCCAGTTTGTAGAACAAACCAGTGCAGGCCAAAAAAAGACAGTATCACAGACTAGGCCTAATATATATTTAGGTGACCCTTTATTCCATCTCTGCCCACATACTGCCTTAGCTTCCTCCTATATTAGAGCATTTCCATACCAGGTTCTCTAGCTTATGTCAATTAATCACAAAGCAGAAAGGCTGGCATAAATCTAGCATTTTTTGAAATGCAGAATAAAAGACTTCATAGCTTTCAATGGCCTATTTAAAAGCAAAGAAAAACTGGTTCATTCACTTGCTCAGCAGCTTTAAAACAAACACAAAGGTTTCATGCTGCCATGATTTTATTTTAAAGAACAATACTTGTGAAAGGCAGGTAAGTACATGGGTAATAAAAGCAGGAAAAGAAAATGCAAAGAAAAAAATAACAGACACAATTTCATACTAGAGCTATATTAAGCAACTAAGAAAAACTATCCTATTTTCCACATAAATTAATCCTAAAGCTAACCTCAAAGGTTTTCCTTTTGTCCTGATTTTATCCTTTCAATCCCTTCCAGGAACACATAGTACCACCTCCTTCTGCATGGCTAATAAATGATTTCAAAGAATGTTAGAAGGTGGCAATTCCTTAGCCACCTACTTGTTTCAGGTACATGTACCCCATCATTTAAATATTCCAAAGAATTTCCTATGTAGCTAACTGTGCATTATAACACCCTGTTTCTATGTTTGTTTCAAGTGATGACAGACAAGGCAACTAAAGTATTAGTTCTTGAGTCACTGTAAATCTCATCCTGGGAACCAGTTCAAAGAAACCGGTAAATGTTCTGTGTAATTAACCTAATATTCGTAATTACTGACTTGTTTTTATACTGACCTTTGCTTTTGGTCCCAATGAAAAATTAGCCGTATCGTAGCAGCATGTCCCCAGCTTTCCCCTGAAAGAAAAAATAACGTAACTGTTATTTTGCATTGTTTCACTGACAAAGTATAAGTTCCTTAGAATACCTCTAACCAAATGAAACTGTTTCTAAATTTAACATGACAAGAATATACTTGGTTTCAAAAACCCTGGGACATGAGTAACATCCTAAATTACCTATCTAGGAAAATACGGCACATCATTATCCTTGTTTGCTTTTAGAAAAATTTATAGTTTTAGTCAGTGTAGCTGTCAATCTTCCATTATCCTTAGGCCTAGTGATATATTTCTGATACCCAGAAGAAAAGTAAAAGACTTGGGCTGTGGATGTAGCTCAAGTGGTAGAACCCTGGCCTAGGAAACATGAGGCCCTGGGTTCAATCCCCTGTACTACTAGGAAAACAAAAAATAAGACAAGAAAAGTAAAAGCTCCCAACAGAAGCTATTTAGGGCCTTCCTGTGCTGGCCTGGAACTCTTGGGTTCAAATAATCCTCTACCTCAGCCTCTTTTTTTTTTTTAGGACTGGGGTTTGAACTCAGGGCTTTGTGCTTACAAGACAGGCACTCTATACCGCTTGAGCAACAACTCTAGTCCATTTTGCTCTGATTACTTTGGAGATGGGTCTCCCAAACTATTTGCCAGGACTGGCCTTGAACTTCAATCTCAACCTCCCAAGAAGCCAGGTTTACAGGCATGAGTCACTGACACTGTCTTACCTCAGCCACTTGAGTAGCTGGAACTACAGGCAAATATCACAGTGCCTGGCACATAGAATATTCTTACAGATTTTAGTGGAAATAAATATTGAAGCATTATGTTCTAACAAAATCACGACTGAAGTTAGGAACAGAGACATGGTCTATTTGTTGTTGTATGTTTTGTATTTAAATAGATTCACTCATCCTCTTACCTAAGACTGTAAGGTTTTGATGACAAGCATCATCTTTTGAATATTTGTACATCAGGTACCTAATACAATAGTTGCCAGAGAGTAGACTCTCACTGAATGTTTGTTAAATAAACAAAAGGATCAGCTAGTAACTCAGGGCACTATGCTTGGTACTGAGATGCAAAAACCAATACAGCTTCTACTTTGGAGACTTACAACAGCACTCATCAAGCATCAAATGCAAATGCAGAAAATAATGTGTTAACCTAAAAATACTTATCTCTTTAATTTACCCACCTAATGCAGGAACTAGCAAGGCCTTATTTTTATCAATCTTTGTTGTCATTTGATTAGTCAAAATTACCTACAAAAGCAAAATGTGAGAAAATTAGGTGCGTCTCTCCTAAAAGTTATGTAAATAGTTCTGTGATTTTAGTATTCTGAATATGATTGTTAAAACATAGTTAGACAATGAAAATTTTTCTCATAAAATTTTTAAATTTACCCATAAAAATTAGTTATCAGAAAATGGTTCTACTGACCATAAAAAATTTTAAAGATATGAATAAAAAAGTTTTTACAGTAAAAATACAAGAATAAAATAGACCAAACAGTACATATAGATCTAAAGAATAAAAACTTCATAAGTGGAAGCAATGAAAAAACTTTTCTAAAATTCAAATTTTGTAGAAGCCAACAGAAACAACCAGAATGGTATCAGCAATATAAGTAGTGGTAATGAACATTTACTGGGTTTTTTTTTTGTGTGTGTGTGTGTGGTACTGGGGCTTGAACTTAGGGCCTACACCTTGAGCCACTCTACCAGCCCTTTTTGTGTTAGGTATTTTTGAGATAGGGTCTCAAGGACTTATTTGCCTGGGCTGCCTTCAATCTGTGATCCCCCTGATCTCTGCCTCTTGAGTAGCTAGGATAATAGGTGTGAGCCACTGGCATCTGGCTTACTGTTTAATATATGCCAGAACTGTATGTTATTTACAATTTACTTTCAATATCTTACCTAATGTTCACAACTATTCTATGAATGAAGTACCATTATTATTCCAGTTTTACTCATGACAAATCAGAGGCTTAAAAGATTGAGTCAGTTCTTTTCCACTATTGCCTTCCTAGAATGTCTTTATTTAAAGGGATATAAATCCTTAATACATAACTCAATGTTTATGTTTTTAGGGAAGAGACAAATATGGCATTATTATTCACCATTTTATAGAAGGAAAAAACTGGAGAAAAGAATTGTGAGAACTGTAAAATTGTAAAGAAAACATAATATAAATAGAACTGGGAAAAACTGAGATCATTGATCAGGTCAAATGATTCCAAATTACAACTACGTTAGTCTGCTAGTAATTGCCACAGGTACTGCTTTACTCACAGACGGCCTTCAGAGTGAAAAGTATTACTAATTATCTTAGATGAAATAAGATTCTATGTTGTGACAGAGAAATTTTTTTTTAAATTTTCACTGCTGAAAATTGAACACAGGGCCTTGTGCAAGCTAAACATAGATTCTAACACTGAGTTGTATCCTTAATCCTGATAGTAAATTTATTTTATTTATATTTTGGCTGCACTGGGGTTTGAATTCAGGGCCTCACACTTGCTAGGCAGTCACTCTTACCACTTTAGCCACTCTGACAGCCCTTTTTTAGTGATGGGTTTTATTGATAGGGTCTTGCAATCTGTTTCCCTGGTGCTAGTCTCCTGATCTCTACCTCCTGAGTAGCTAGGATTATGGGCATGAGCCATCAGGGCCCGAACTGTTACATTAATTAGTATTTTAAGGACTTATTCTTTAGAAACTTGGGAATGATCACACATTCATTTTCATTTGTAACATGGTAAACCCAACATTTCTGCAGGAATAGTATAATTACCTTACTAGGCTGGTGGAGTAACTCAAGTGGTAGGGCACTTGAGTAGCAAGTACAGGGCTCTAAGTTCAAACCCCAGTACCACCAAAAGAAAAAAGAAACAAAACTTATTATTACTTAATAAATACTTGTTAATAATACAATGTCTAATTTTGTGGTGTTGAACAGCTGGAGAGTTAGTACTTTGCTTTATATTTTTTTGAAGATACGAAAGGGATGAACTAAATACTCTTATTTCAACCAGCAGTATCCAATAGAACCTCTGAAAAAATGGAAATGTACAGTGTAGTACAGTACCTGCAAGGCTTTTGAGCACTTTGAAATATGGCTAATGCTACTGAAGAACTGAATTTCTAGTTGTTTGTTTTTGCAATGCTGGGGATCAAACCCAGACCATCATGCATGCTAGGCAAGTGCTCTACCATTAAGCTATATCCTCTGCCCCTTTAATTTTTATTTAACTTTAAAATGCCTACATGTGGCTAGTGACTATGGACTTCATCAGCACATTTCTAAACAAAATGTGTGCACATGGTCTACTCAGAAGGCAGGATCAGCAGGATTACAGTTCAAAGCCAGCCCCTGGCAAATAGTTCAGGAGACCCAATCTCGAAAAAACCCATCACAAAAAAGGGCTGGCAGAGTGGCTCAAGGTGTGGGCCCTGAGTTCAAACCCCAGTGCCACCAAAAAAAAAAAAAAATTGTGTGCATAACTGAGCATCACTATCCCAGTTTCTAGAGCTTAAACAGTTGGTAACAGTTGGTAATATGTACAGTAAGAGGTATTTCTCACCTCATTAGGGATACTAGTTAGTCACACAATTCAGTATTAAAAATTTAAATTCCTGCTCAGCTTGTTCTAATATGCCTGGTGTAAGGTAACAAATGAGGAAGGTACTGTGGCAGTTAAGGGGTGAAGAACTTAAAAAAAAAAAAAAAAAAAGGTCACATTATCCTTTTGGTATCTAGTTGAGATCTAAGTGGACCACAACTTTTCCTTTGTAACTAAAAAATAAATAAATAAAAACTCCTATGGGAAATAGCCTTTTCTTTCTTGGTTTTCTTATGAAACTGCTGATTTTTACAGAGTAAGCAACTTTTCTTACTGCTTTCATAGAAAATTGAATAGTAACTATCTTCTTTCTGAAGGGAAAATCTACCTGTATTGGAATAATATTTAAAATAACCATTTCTGCAGAGTTTTGGATAAAAAAGATGCCAGATAATATGGCTTGGACAGTATTAAGTCAGCCATAAACACATTTCTTTTTTCTATTTTAAAATTACTACTGGAGCCGGATAACTGTGGTTCACATCTATAATCCTAGCTACTTAAGAGGCAGAGATCAGGAAGATCGAGGTTCAAAGCCAGGTAGGAAATAATGTCAAAGATCCTATTTCAAAAATATCCGACAAAAAAGGCCTGGTAGAGTGGTACAAGTGTTAGAGTGCCTGCTGAGCAAGCATGAAGACCTGAGTTCAAATCCCAGTACCATGCACACACAAAAAAAACAATGTTAACAATCACTTTGAAATTATAAACTTCAGCCAGTTGACAGTGGCTCACACCTGTAACCCCTGCTACTTGGGAAGCTAAGATTGGGAGCATCAAGGTTTGAGGCCACACTAAGCAAATAGGCAAGACCCCCATCTCCAAAACAACCAGAGAAAAATGGACAGAGAGCATGGCTCAAGCAATAGAGTACTAGCTTTGCAAGCACAAAGCTCTGAGTTCAAAATCCCAGTCCCATAAAAAGAAAACCAAAACAAAACAGTATTAGGAAGTTTTGAACTTCAGTGCTTCAAAAACACTTTCAAGCTGGGCACCAGTGGCTCATACCTAGAATCAACTGTAGTTCACAGCCAGCCCGGGAAAACAGTTCTTGAGACCCTATCTCAAAAAAATTCATCACAAAAAAGGGCTGGTGGGAGAAATGGCCCAAACACTGTATGCACATATGAATAAAGAAATTAAAAAAAAAAAAAGGGCTGGTGGAGTTGCTCAAGTGGTAGAACACTTGCTTTGATAGCATGAAACCCTGAGTTTAAACTCCAGTCCCACCAAAAAAAAAAAAAAGCTGGGTATGGCGATACACACCTGTAATCCCAGTTATGAAGGAGGTTATGGTAGGAGGATCAAGGTCCAAGGCCAGCCTTCATGCAAAAAGCATGAAACCCTATCTGAAAAATCAAGCAAAAACATCTGGGAGTGTAGCTCAAGTGGCTGAGCACTTCCCTAGCAAGTATAATGCTCTGACTTCAAACCCCAGTACCACCAAAACAAAACAAAACAAAAATTTTGCTAATAACCAAAGAGATGCTTTTTTTTTCAGTGTTGGGGATCAAACTCATGCATGCTAGGCAAGAGGTCTACCACTGAGGTATACCTCCAGAAATGAATTTTTAAAAGCATTTTCCTCATTTTAGTTTAGTGAAGATTTAAAATCCTGGTAATACTCAAGGGTGGTAAAGATGTGGGAAAACAAGAATTCTAACTTATTGTTGAAGAGAACAACTTCAGAACAAGTGCTCTGAAGGTAATTTAGTAATATAAAAATATTCTAATATTAATACCATTAATTAACATAGTTACTAATCAACAATATCAAATTAATATTAATTAACATAATTATATAGTTATTAAAATATAAGCATATGTTTATATAAATACAAATATATAATATTAATATTAATTATTGATATTATTTTAATATTGAAATAAAGAGGAAGGTCACCCATAGTGACAAAAACATATAATCCCAGCACTTAGGAGGCTGAGGAAGATGGAGAGTTTAAGGACAGCCTGGGTTACTTAGTAAGTTCCAGGCCAGCTTGGGCTAGATACAAAGACCTTGTCTCAAACAGAGGGGGAATGTAGCACTTGCCTACCATGATGAGTGAGGCTTTGGGTTCAACTTCCAGTTTAAAAAAAAAAAAAATCCTTATTGAACCAGACATGGTAGCAAATGTCTGTAATCCCAGTACTCAGGAGGCTAAGGCAGGAGCATTTTGACTTTGAGGCAGGAGCATTTTGACTTTGAGGCCGGCTACAAAGTGAGGCTGTCTCAAAAAAAAAGAGAGAGGGAGGGAGGGAGGGAGAGGCAGGGAGAAAGAGAGGAGATTCCTTTGACTTCATACATTCATATGAAGAAATATGAAAGTAAGCTGGGTGCCCATGATTTACACCTAAAATGCTAGGTACTTGGAAGGCTAAGATCGGGAGGATGGTGGTTTCAGGCTGGCCTGGGCAAAAAGTTAATGAGAAACAGCTGGGACTCAAGAGCTTCCGGTAGCTGGCTAGTGAAGTTATGTCTAAACATCATTCGGATTTGATGTTCTGCCACAAGCAGGCTGGTGTTGCCATCAGAAGACTGTGAAAAAATGTGATGGCAAGTGTGTGATCTGTGAGTCATATGTGCATCCCTGCACCCTGTTGCGCATATGTGATGAGTATAATTGTGGATCTTATCAAGGTATGTGATCTGTGGAGGCCCTGGAGTCCCTGATGCCTATTATTGCAAAAAGTGCACCATCCAGGAGAATAGGGATGGTTGCCCAAAAATTGTCAATTTGTGGAGCTTTAAGACAGATTTACAAATGCAAAAAATATGGATTCAAGAAGAGATGACTGGTGGGTGGCCCCTTCCTCCCCCCATCAAGCTGCTGCAGCTGCCAGAAAAGGCCTCTACTACTACCAGCAGAAAGGGAGCGAAGCATCACCAGAACTGCCTGCTAGTACATTGGCACCTTCCCACCCTTTCCTTCTCTCTCCCAGACAGGTGCAGATGGAAAAGGATTCTTCAGAAAGCACTATGGCAGACCGTGTAAAATTTATTGGTTAGTTCATGGAAATATCTTTTCAGCCTTCTGTCTAAGGAATTGACTTTGAAAAGTGAAAAGTGTGTTCTTGCAGCAGCTCTGATGGCAATTGTCCTTGATAACCTTTAAGGTATGGCAGGGAGCCATCAGAACAATAAATGTCATGTGAGCATTTAGTCTTTCTTGGAGCACTTAAAAAAAAAAAAAGAAAGAAAGAAATAGCTAGGCATGGTGGCACATGCCTGTCATCCCACCTACTGCAAGAAGCATGAATAGGAGGATCATGGCCTAGGCTGGCTCAGGCAAAACATGAGACCCTATTTCAAAAAAACCAGAGAAAGAAACTTGAAAGTAAGCCTGGAGCAGTAGCTCATACCTATAATCTCAGCTACTTGGGAGATGGAGATCAAGAGGATCACGGTTTGAAGTTGGCCAGAGCAAAAAGTTAAGAAGACACTATCTCAACTAATAAGGTGGATATAGTGGTATGTGCTTGTCATCCCAGCTATACAGGAAGCATAAATGGGAGGATCGTTGTCCAGGATGGCCTGGGCAGAAACTCAAAACCCCATCCAAAAAATACCTACACCAAAAAAGGGTAATGTTTGAGGCTCAAGTGGTGGAGCAACTGCCTAGCAGGCACAAGACCCTGAGTTCAAACCCCAGAACTGCCAATAAATAACTAACTAAACTAGAAAAAATAAAAAAAGAAATGTGAAAGTAGTCCCACCCATAGACTTTGTGGCTCAGGAAGTTTGAGCACAGGAGTTTGAGACCACTTTAGGCAACACAGCAAAAAAAAGGAAAAATTAATTTACTCTAAAGAAGTAAAAATAAACTAGGGCTGGCAGAGTGGCTCAAGTGGTAGGGTGCCTGCCTAGCAAGTACAGGTCCTAAATTCAAATCCCAGTAGAGAAAAAAAAAAGACAAAAAAACCTTATGCTACAATAATATAATGGAATAGTATGCAACTGTTAAAGTAAGACAGACTTGTAAGTAATATACATTGAAAGATGTTCATAATACGTTCAGTAAACAAACAAAAAGCTTTGTATAAGAGCAAGCATAATATCTCATCTCCTAAAAAGGATGTTTGTATATGTATGGAAAAATATGTAGACTAAATGCAAGAATAGCTATTTCTGGGTAATAATCATTTCATATCTACTTTTTTTGATGGATACTTTTTTAACAAGCATACATACCAACTAAAATTATAAAACATTTATTTTCAAAAGCTATACATGCTTCTATACAATGTTAACTGGAGGTGGGATAGGGAATCAAGCAAAGAAGAATTTATAATGTAAGAAGAGAAAGTATATCCTAACCTTACAAAATCTTATCCCTAGAGAGATAAGATTAATGTTTTGATTTTTTCAAACTTTGTCTTCATACACGTAACTATAAATGCATATACATAATTTTTATTTTTCTCAAAAGTGGAATTACACTAAATAGGTAACTTTGCCTTTTTTACTTAGTCACATATCTGGATATATTTAGTTCCACATTAGCACATTCATATTTACATCATTCTTTGTCAACAATGCAGCATTTGATGTTATTGTTTGGACTGCTTCTTTAATCACAAAAGATGAAGCTGTTTCTGTTAAAACAATACCAAAAACCTAGGGCTGGGGACAAGTACTTGCTTAGCATAAATGAAGCCCTGGGTTTGGTTCCCAGCAATAACTAAAAACCAAACAAACCAGAAGAACACCCAAAAGCTATGAAAACTATGCAATGATGGAACCCATTAGTCTTGAGTGCCCTCTACTGGGAGATCTTTCTGATTCAGGTATTAACGGCAATAAATTCTAATTAACAGCAAGAAATAATTCAAATACAGAGCACTGGGCTTTGACAAAAAGAATATGGCAAAAAAAAAAAAAAAAAAAAACCCAAAACTCCAAATCTCAAAATTCAAAGAAAATGTTTATTAAATTGCATAGAGGGAGTCCTTTATTTACTTTTGGTGTACTACAGGTATGTGCTAAGGACTCTAATTAGGGTAAAAACAAAGAAAACAGTTTGATTTTCCACCTCTCTTCCAGACAAAAGTGAGTGTTTTTGTAAGTGGTGGGATGTGGTTTGAATGAGCAATGATGCCAAACAGGCAGTTTAAAATGTGGAAGAATGTTTTATTTCTTTTTTATCTCTGCATGTCCAAGTTCATATTTACCTTTCTCCTCATATTTCAAATCTAGAATTGCCTCTAGGGGCTGGGGAGTAGTTTAGTGGTAGAACACTTGCCTAACATGCTCAAAGTCCTGGGTTCAATCCCCAGCACTGGGGCGTGGGTGGGGGTGGAAGGAGGGGAGTTGGCTGCTATACTTCAAAACATCTAGGTTGCTTGTACTACATAGTTTTTTGATCCAAGTTCCGTAATTATGTACTACATAATGATCAAAGACTCAGTAAAAGAAAAATGAAGATGGTGGAATAGCGTTCCTAAAAAACGTTAAATATGTTTAGACAAAGAAAACACTGCAATTAGCAAAGGTGGCATTTCTTTATCAAAGACAATTTTTAAAAATGACATATTGATGTTTGCTATTTTTCCAGAAAACTGATACATATGACAAATTATGACTGATATTAATTCTTTTTGTTTCATTTGATTTTGGGTTTTCATGGTGGGAGGAAACTGGGGATTAAAGTCAGGGTTTCAAGCTTGCTAGGCAGCAGGTGCTTTATCACTTGAGCTATTCCCCCAGTCCTAGGTTTTGGTTTTTTGACAAGGCTGGCCTTGAACTCACTGTGTAGCCTAGGCTGGACTATAGCTCAAGATTCTCTTGCCTCAGCCTCCTGAGTGCTGGGATTACAGGCATATCCCATCATGGCAGTCTTGGAATTCTCTACGAAAATCAAAACAAAACTATCTTCAAAACTGCTTGTATTGAATGGAGGTGTGCCATAAGCAGTAAAGTGTCTGCCTAGCAAGTGAGAAGCCCTGAGTTCAAACTCCAATACTGCAAAACAAAACAAAAAACCCTGCATGTATTATTTTCTTTTAATCAGGCAAAATCTACTTTGCTCTTTCTAGACATTACCATATTCTACAATCTTGACTTTATTACAAAACTCTCTTGACCAGTAATACTTACAGCTAATTTGTGCTTATTTGCAAGGCTAATCATTTGCTGGGCTAGGCCATTTAGTAATCGAGTTCGAAGGGACAGATCATCAAGGTCATGACGAAAAAGAAAAGCAATGCCATCTACTATTATTATTCGTACCTAAAAACAGAAGAGATAATGGTATTAGGCTTGGTGTTACATGTACAATAAAAATGGCATCCAAAAAACATATTCCATTACAGAAATAAATCTTAAAGTCCAGGACTTTATTTCCACTCTCCAAAGAAGGCTTTTTTTTGGAAAGTTATAAATCTATTCATTCAATGATTTCTGCAGTAATTATCAAAAACTAAAATTTACTTTGGCTTGGCAACTTGAAAAAAGTAACTCAAAAAAGACGAGGAAATAACTAATTTTCTTATAACTTCCCATCATACAGTTTATGGTTTTTTTTTTTTTTTTGAGACAGGGTCTTGCTCCGTAACCCATGCTGGTCGGAATTCTCTATGTAATCCATACTGGCTTTAAATTCCTAATCCTCCTGCTTCAAGCCTCCTGAATGCTGGGATTACACATCTGTGCCAAAACATCAGTCTTAATGGAGGTACTCTGATAAAAATCACATTTAACTTCCTGGTAAAGGGCTGGGAATGTTGCTCAGTAGTAGAGTGCTTGTCTAGAATGTGCAAGTCCCTGGGTTCAATCCCTAGCACTGAGAAAAAAAAAGTTTGCTCATAATTACTTGGATTATTAACAATTCAGTGGTTAGGATAATTTATGAAAATATAAACAGTGAAGTCATAGTAATATATGATTATATAAACCTAGGATCCAAACTCATAAAGAATCTACAAATTAACCCAAATGTAAAAAACACAAAACACTACAAAACTGCATTTTATTTTCTATATGGTTAGGGTTAAATTTAAAAAGAGGCTTTTGGCTGGGTACCAGTGGCTCACACCTATAATCCTAGCTACCTGGGAGACTGAGATCAGGAGGACTGAAGTTCGAGGCCAGCCCAGGCAAACAGTTTTTAAGAACCCCCCATCTCTAAAATAACCAGAGCAAAATGGAGGCAGGAGGTGAGACCCTATCTAAAACAAACAAATAAAACCTAAATAAATAAAAACAAAATAAAATTAGGAATTTTAGTCTCACCAATATCTGATATAGGTTTTTGTATTTCTGAGGTAGGTTCTCTCTACATACAGCCCAGGCTGGCCTCAAGCTCATGATCCTCCTACCTCAGCCTCCCTAGTGCTAGGATTATAGGCATACGCCACCACATCTAGCTTGATTTTGATATTTATATGAGACTTTGGATTACATTTTAGAGTTGATGCTGGAACCAATTAACACTCTGGGGGCTGTTGAAACTGAATGGATGTATTGACTGCAAGAAGAACATGAATGGGGGTGTTGGGTGGGGAAGGGCAAGGACTGCATGCTAAAGTCTGAGTTGTATCCACTAAAATTCTTATTGAACCTTAATTCTGAAGTTGACATTTGGAGAATAGGCCTATACCGATCTAATTAAGGTTAAATGAGGCCATAAAGGTGGGGCCCTGATTTAGTAAGATTAGTGTCCTTATAAATACATAAACATACACACACACACACACACACAAAGCAGAAGTCAGGTGCAGGAGCTCATACCTGTAATTCTAGCTACTCAGGAGGCAGAGATTGGAAGGATAGTGGATGGAGGCTAGTGCAGGCAAAAAGTTAGCCATACCCCATCTCACTCAGTAAAAGGTGGGTGTTGAGGCACACGGCAGTCATCTTAGCTATACAGGAAAGCATACATAAGAGGATAGCCTGAGCATAAATGCCAGACTCTATTTGAAAAATACCTAAAGCCAGAAGGAAGCTTGGAAACTTGGTTCAAGTGGTGTAACACCTGACTGGCAAACCCCAGTACTACCAAAAAAAAAAACCCAAAAATCAGCTCACACTTTCTCTTTCCTCTCACCATGTGAGAACAAAGGACAAGATGGTTATCTATATATCAAAAAGAAAGCTGTTGCCAGAAACCAAATCAATCTGAAACTTGATGCTGATTTTTTAGCCTCATAATTATAAGAAAACAAAATTTATGTAGTTTAAGTCACCCAGTCTATATTTTGTTTTTTGTTTTTTTTTTTTGCAGTACTGAGTCTTGAACTCAGGGCCTTCACCTTGAGCCACTCCACCAGCCCTATTTTTGTGAAAGATCTTTTCAAGATAGGGTCTCACGAATTATTTGTCTGCACTGACTTTGAACCGAGATTCTCCTGCTTTCTGCCTCCTGAGTAACTAAGAGTATAGGCATGAACCACCCGCATGCGGCTATGGTATTATTGTATTATTTTATGGCAACCTAAACTAATACATCTGAAAATGAGTATAAATGTGATGTTAGTGTTAATTTGGTAGTTAAAATAAATTTTATCAAGTATGCAAATTAATAATTACATAATCTAGTAACACAGAGTAATGAAGATGAACTTAATGGTGATAGAGTGAAAACTTCTTCCCTAAGACTGGGGCCGGTGGCTCATGCCTGTAATCTTAGCAACTTGGGAGGCTGGGATCAGGAAGATCATGGTTTGAGGCCAGCCTGGGCAAATAGTTTTTAAGACCCCCACCTCCAAAAATAACAAGAGCAAAAATGGACTGCAAGTACGGCACAAGCAGTAGATTGCCTGCTTTGAAGGCCTGAGTTCAAATCCCAGTCCCATTTAAAAAAAAAAAGAAGTGGGCTGGCAGAATGGTTCAAGGCCTCAAGTGGTAGAGTACATGCAGAGCAAGCACAAGGCCCTGAATTCAACCTCCCAGTATCACCAAAAATAAATAAATCAATAAATCTATTGTATTTCTACATACTAGCAATAAATAATTAAAAATGAAACTATTTTTTTAAATTCTGGACTGGGTGCTGGTGGCTCACGCCTGTAATCCCAGCTACTTAGGAGCCTAAGATCACAAAAAATAAATAAATGAATAAAAAATTCTGGGGCTGGAGTATGGCCCAAGCAGTATAATGTTTGTTTAGCCAGCACAACATCCTGAGTTCGAATCCCAGTACAGTCAAAAAAATATATTCTATAGTCATGCATATAATCCCACTACTAGGGAGGCTAAGGCAAGGTCAAAGCCAACATAAGCAAGTTCCAGGCCAGCCTACTACAAAGTGGGACCATGTCTCAAACAATAACAAAAAGTCATTTGCAAAAGCACTAAACAGAATAAAATATTTAAAGCATTGTTGAAAGAAATTAAAGAAGATCTAAATAAAGAGAAAGACATACTGCATTTGTGGATGGGAGGACTTAATATTGTTAAGATGGCAATACACTCAAACTGATCTGCAGATAAAACACAATCTGTATTAGAACTCCAGCTGCCTATCCACAGCAATACACAAGCCAGTCCTCAAATTCATATGCAACTGCAAGGGACCCCCAAATAGCCAAAATAATCTGAAAATGAACAAATTTCAGGACTCACAGGTCCCAATTTCAAAATGCATAACAAAGCTATAGTAATAAAAACAGTGTGATGGGGGTTAGAGGAGCAGCCCAGTGATCGAGCACTTGCCTAAGCATGTATGCAGACCTAGATTCAAGCACTATAGCACTGCAAAGAATAGAAAAGGGAAGAATAGTGTGATAGTAACATGGATCAACAGAACAGCATTCAGAAATAAATTCAAACATCTACTGCCAACTCATATTTCAATTTTAAAACTCTATTACTTAGGCCAGGTGTGGTGGTTGCCTGTAATCCCAGCTACTAAGGAAGCAGAAACAAGATGATCTCAAGTCTGAGGCCAGCCCAGGCAAAGTTAATGAGACTCTATCTCAGAGACAAAATACAAAAAAAAAACACAAAAGGCTGGAAGGATGGCTTAAGAAGTAGAGCATTTGCCAAGCATATGCACGTCTTAAGTACCACAAAAAAATGAAACAACAAAAACCGTGGAGCCAGGCATGGTGGCACTCCCCTGTAATCCTAGCTACTTGGGGAGTAAAGATGGAGGAGGGCAGTTCCAGGCCATCCCAGGCAAAAAGAGTTAGCAAGACCCCATCATAACCAATAAGATGGGCTTGGTGGTGCACACTTATGATCCCAACTACTCAAGAGGCATAGGGAGGAGGCTCATGATCCAAGGCCAGCCCAGCAAAAACACAAGGCTCTATCTGAAAAATAACTACAGCAAGTGCTGGGAGTCATGGCTCAAGTGGTAGAGCACCTGCCTACCAAGTGTGAGGCCCTGAGTTCAAACCCCAGTACTGCCAAAAACCTCAAAACTGTATTACTTAAATTTCAAACACACACACACACACACACACACACACACACACACACAGAGATATACATACATATACATGCATATGTAAGTAGTTTTAAAATTGAACATGTATACATCTATGCAACATAAATAGAAATAAACTGTAGGGCACAAGGAATGAAGAGATTTTGAGTTGGGTTTGACTTTAATTTTATGCTACTGTACTAGTTAGTATCTTCTTCATGTTTCTCAAACACCTCCAAAGGTTAGTCACTTTTCTGTAGTTTGAGTCATACCTTTGAGTGATTTGAAAGGAAATCTGGAAGGAGATAAACTTGTGCCAGTAGCTCTGTGTAATCATGACAACGAAAGTAATAAATATGGGAAAGAATATTTTCAAGAGTGAAATCCTCCAAAGCTTTCTGATGTTCTGAAATTGAAACAAAAAGTCAAATAGACAAAAAGTCAACATAGTTTTGCTTTGATATGCTGACAACTGTAGAAATTAATTACACTCTATTTTTTTTCTGAGACTGTTTTGAACTCAGGGCTTTGCAATTACTAAGCAGGTGCTCTACTGCTTGAGCCACACCTCCAGTCTTCTTCATTTTTACTTGAAAGGTGACAAAATTATAGCAAATTTACTATAAATATCATCTCAAATTCCTGACCTTTTTTTTTGAGGGGGAGGACAGTACTGAGGTCTGAACTCAGGGCCTCATGTTTCCTAGGCAGGCCATCTACTACTTAAGCCACACCTCCAGTCCTTTTTGCTTTAGTTATTTTTTCAGGTAGGGTCTTGTGTTTTTGACTGGGCTGGTTTGAACTTCTACCCTCCTCATCTCTGCCACTCGAACAGCTGGGATTACAGACATGAATTACACACCTTCTCTACAGTTTCCTTACATACTAGGCTATCTAGAAATTGTTTATACATATAAAACTAGAGTTTCTGGGTTTTTTTGTGTGTGTGGTGGTGGTACTGGGGTTTGAAGTAGGGCCTCACTGGGGACATGGCCCAAGTTGTAGAGTGCCTGCTTTAGCATGTGCAAGGCCCTGAGTTCAAACCCCAGTACTGCTAAATAAATAAAAATATAAATAAAATAAAAAGATAGACTTAAAAAAAGAAAAAAGCTGGGATAGTGACTCAAGCGGTAGGGCACCTGCCTACCAAGCATGAAGCCCTGAGTTCAACACCCCCCCCCCAAAAAAAATACATGACTCCTGGATTCAGGGCCTCATGCTTGCTAGGCAGGTGCTCTACCATAAAACTAGCTTTAATGCCTGCCTTTTTGTATTTCTAATTGGTTTCCGTTGAACAGTGAGAAGTTTCTCTTTCTTGTTTTTTCACAAACAACTATAAATTATGTGTTAAAAGGAAAAGTGTTAAAAATGAAGCATTTCTCCCTGAATGCTTCAGTATAATTTAAGTAGAAATAATAACATAACATTTCCTTACGTTGGATTTAAAAAAAAATAGCCAGTTTGGTTTTGTGCACATTTTTAAGAGAAAAACAAATTAGTAAGTACATTTAAAAATGTACTTAAAGCTAGGCGCCAGTGGCTCATGCCAGCATTCCTATTTAGCTACTCAGGAGGCAGAGATAAGGAGGACCACAGTTCGAAGCCAGACTGGGCAAAAAATTCACGAGCTCCTATCTTGAAAATACCTAACACAAAAAGGGTGGTGGAGTGGCTCAAGGTGAAGGCCCTGAATTCAAACCCTGGTACCGCAAAAAAAAAAAAAGTACTTAAGTATTAGCATTATAAAAAACAAGAAAGGGACTGCCTCAATGATAGAGTGCTCACCTAGCAAGACCCTGAGTTCAATCCCCACCCCCCAGCACCACAAAGGAAAAAACAAAAGGAACCAAAACAACAAAAAATCCTAAGAAACTATACCTACTGTATTTATAGCAAGATTTTAAGACATTTATTACAAATACACATGTGACATAGGTAGCTATAAGACACCAGGAGGGAAAAAGTATTTCAACTACCTTCTAGGTTCTCTGGCTGGAGCATTCTAAACTGTGCTTTTACAAGGGAAAAACAAGTTAATTTGTGTATTATGCACACAACAAACGGGAGTCCAGTGATTAGTAACTCAAAGATTTGGTTGAATTTGACTTTATTTTACTAAAGGAACAATAAATTTTTAGAGAAGTGATAAGGGAAAGGAAAAAGATGCCTGTAATTCTAGCTATTCAGGAGGCAGAGAGGAGGAGGGTCAAGATGAAGCTAGCCTCAAGCAGAGTTTGCAAGACCCTATCTCAAAAAAACCCAACACAAAAAAGTGACTCAAGCAGTAAGAGCACCTGCCTAGCAAATGTGAGGCCTTGCAGTGCAGCCAAAAAAAAGAAAAAAAAAGGCCTTAAGTCTCCAGGGGCAGCAAATATTGTAAAATATAGAGAAAACTAATGGAAAATAAAAGTTAACTAGAAAGTTTGTTTACATAAGATTCCTGTGATGTTGCCTCCAGGCTGATAGGGTCTACAGATGTCTCTAGTGACTAACTTTTATCTTCCCCGGTAGAAAGGGTAGGGGGAAAAACCTTAGTACATTTATGTCCTGCTTTTAGGAAAACAGAGGAAAGGCAGACCACTTTTCTTTGTTTCTTTTCAATTGCCTTCAGTTCAAAATAAACCTTATGCCAAAATGGCATATTTGGGGGTGACATATTCTGCTAGTACACAATGGTCTTACTGGTAATTAAATAGGACACTTTTATATACATAAAAATAAAAATACTGTAGCTACCTGAGAGGCTGAGATTGGGAGGTCTGCTGTTTGAGACCCATTCAGGCAAATAGTTCCCAAGACCCCATCTCCAAAATAATCAGAGGAATGTGAGGACAGGGGATAAGGGAGTAGGAGGGGGTAAATTCAACCATGATATGTTGTAAGAACTTTTGTAAATATCATAATGTATCCCCCAGTACAACAATAATATGGTAATAAAAAATAAAATAAAATTCAACCATAACCAAAACCAAAACAAATCTCAAAATAACCAGAGCAAAATGGACTGGAGGTGTGGCTCAAGCAGTAGAGCACCTGCTTTGCAAGTGTGAAGTCCTGAATTCAAACCCAGTCCCACAAATAAATACACAGATATCCAGATGATTACATTCACTTAAGGGAAATACAAGTATGTTATAAAAAGCATTGCTTTTTTTTTTTTTTAACTTCTTGAGAAAAGTATAGGATTGTGTATCAAAACCTAAACTAAAACAAAGGCCTGGGGATATAGCTCAGTTAGACCACTTGCCTAGCATGCGCCAAGGCCCTGGGTTCAATCCTTAACATAAACATAAACTTTAAAAATGAACATAGGCTGAGGCAGGAGGACCACTTGAGACTACAAATTCAAGACTTGCCTGGACAATAGTGAGGCATCACTGAAAGAAAAGAAAGAAAAGGAAAGAAGGAAAGGAAAGGGGGAAGAGGAAAGGGAAGGGGAAGGGAACTAAAAAAGATAGGAAAGAAGGAAGAAAGCAAAAGAAAATAGTTAAGGGCTGGGGGTGTAGCTCAGTGTTTGAACAATTGCCTGGCATTCACAAGACCTTAGGTTCCATCCCCAGCACCGAAAAACAACAACAACAACAACAAAAAAGGTCAAACCAGAAGCCATTTACTTTTTTGTCTGTTTGCTTGTTTGAGACAGGGTCTCTCTATGTAGCCCAGGGTAGCCACGATCCTCCAGCCTCAAACTCCCAAATGCTAGAATTACAGGAAAGGTCCACCATACTTCAACCAGAAGCCATTTACTTTTATAAAGTAGCTGAAAGGACAAGTGCTTAAGAATATAAATTAACTTTTTAAAAAACTCAAAGTTTTTAAAAATCAAAATCAAAGTTTGATTCTACCTAAGAAGCACAAAAAAAAAAAAAAAATCCATGCTGGGAAGTAGTGGCACTCACTTGTAATCCCTGCACTCTAGAGGCTGAGGTAGTAGCATCAAGAGTTCAAGTCCAGCCTAGGCTACACAGTGAGACCCTATCTCGAAAAAAAAGACTTCTCAAACTCTTTAATGATATAATCAGTGCAGTTATAAGGTAAATATAGATTATTCAAAGCCCCCAGAAGTCAATAAACCTAACATTCCAAACATTTATACATGTGATTTTTAAAAGTGCCTTTGGTTTTTGGAAAACCCAAAGTGAAAAGTCAATATACACTAAATATATCTAACAACATTCACTTATATTAAGGTGTCCACATCAGCTTAGACTCAGCAAGTTAGAAAATGATGATTTCAGTCACGCACTGACCTACATATGTAGGTTTTGTCCCAAAACTACTGCAGTTAAGAAGTGCGAACCTTAAAGGTGGAAGACAAGGCTACTTCAGGCTATGGCATTTCTCATTTTGTAACAGGTATGAGAGTTTAACACCAACACATTGTTAAGTCTTTAAGCTTCAAGTTTGGAGCACATGTGTAAATTACTTTTGTTATATACAGAAAAAAAAAAGAGGCTCACTTGTTAACTTACCCTCTCCTATGTGTGTTTCTGCTATACGCTGAAGGTGCTGAATGCAGACAGTGGCAAGGTCTACCACTCTATCAACCATAAAACTTCCCTCTGTATCGATAAATACTGCTTCACCTGCCACTCCTCCAAAACATTCTGGTATCTGCACATCTACTGCCAACTGCAAACTGTCAAGAAATAGTGAAATGACCAAATCATGATCACCTAAGGCAGTGTTTTCAAAGGCCAGATAATGACCAGATGGACCACTGAAAGTTTTAGAAATACAAATAAAATTCCCAAAGTAATAGAGATGGCTGACTCCAGATCACTAAGAATCAACTGATGCCTGGATTACCAGGAGGATGTGCCTACAAAACTTCAATTAAGGACCCTTTAATGACTTTTAAACTTCTGGGAATGAAATCCATTCTTATCATACATAAAGCTATCTACTTTCAAGCGTCTGGCATTCAAACATATTCTCAGAAGTGAATTAATAAAGAAGAGTGCCTGTTTGCCCTACTGATCACACTGTGTTACAAAAGAAACATCTTTACATCAAAATAGTAGTATCAATTTATCAAGATGGGGTACTGAAGTAATAAAAATGGCAAATTTTGTTTGATGCACACACATAAAATTAAGAGCACATGTGTGCCATTTTTAGTTTCTTGACTGTACACCCTAAGCACATATTCTATTACATAAAATGTTATGAAGCCCACCCTCAAGAGCATAATGTCGTATTTTACCATAATTGTGTTTTTCCAACACCCGGTACACCACAAATTTCTGTTGTTTTCATTAAGGGCACTCCACCTCCAAGAATATTATCTAGTGCTGAACAGAAGGTAATTATGAAGCCCTGAGTATGCTCCTGCTCGAGAAGTTCCAGAGCTGTGCACTTCTTGCCTGACTCAGATGTACTAGCATATCTTGGTTTATTTGTGAGACATTCTCTTCTTATAATTTGCAGAGTTTCTAAAGCTTCCTCTTTAGATATCCCAACTTCTGTAAGTAAAAGAAAGAAAAAAAAAACAAACCAATGATTTTAGAGATTTAAAAATCGCACACAGTACTTTTAACTATTAGATAACAAGAGTGATGCTAAGTAAGGGCTGGAGATGGAGTTCCGTGGTAGTGCACTTACCCAGTACGCACATGGCCTACGTTCAATCCCCAGGCCTGAAAAAAAATTCTAAAATTTCATTCTATCTTCTTCAGTGACTAGCACAGGTCTCGGTATACCGCAGTGCTAGGTGCACAGTGAGTGACCACGGCTAGTTTCATTCTTGTTGTAGCTCAGAATGCAGTGTTCCTACCAACATATGCAAGCTCTGAAAAATGAGGTTTGGGATTTTTCAGTACGTTACATAAGGGGTAACTTTTTTTTTTTTTCCTGCAGCCTTCTTCAGATCTAAGGGAATATTCTACTCTATCAATTAGTGTCTGTAGCCCTACTCGAAACCTTCATTTCTGGAACTCAATCCCCACCCGGTTGGATCGTGGACTGCTTGTCTGGCTTCTGATTCTAGCTCCACTATTTTCTAACCCAGTTATCAGTAAAAGTTATTTAACTTCGTCAAGATGAGAGTTCGGTTCTCTCATCGATATGTTGGTTCTAATAATCCAAGAAAGAAGGTTCTTTTAAGGAGTAACGAGATAATCCTCAAAGCATACAGTAAGCACTGGCACAAAGCAACTAATAAATGTTTACATAACCATATTTCTAAACACGGCGCTCTTCTTTTATTGGGGGGGGTACGAAGATTTGAACTCAGGGCTTCGCACTTGCAAAGCAGGTGCTGTACCGCTTGAGCTACACCTCCGGCCGCACTGAAAGCTTTTCAGTACAATCAAGGTGCTGTTTCCCGTTGTAAAAGCGGCGGTGGGAGGCGGCCGATTCCGGTGGAGACTGGACTGAATCCTGAAGGCTGCAGAACAAAACCCAGTCGGCACGGAAGGCGGCCCGTGTGCTTCAGTTTGCCGTCGGGAGTCGTTACCTTTGCTGAGCTCAGAGGGCTTCACTTCTAGAAGTTCCTCAGCAGTTTGGAAACCTGCAGAAACAAGCTTCACCCGCACGCCTGGACACAGAGGGAAACTCACTAAATCCCGCTGCATTTCAAAGTCCGGCGGTTACCTACGCAGTTGCGCAGACCCAGAGCGGCAAAACGCCGCGCGGCCAAACCACGCACGCCAGAGCGGGGGCCGTGTGACGTCAGACGTAAAGCGGAAGGGGCGGGGTGTGGCCGCACGCGCTTGAGCTTCGCCGCTCTGGGAATCTTACACGATTTCACACTTGGGTATCAATTCCTATGTGATTCATCACAATCACATTTAGGGTTTCTCCATCAAACGTACATCCTGATAGTTGAAAAAAAAAAAAAAGATGGATGGAGGCCATATGATGGCGAGCAAATGGCAAGGGAAAAGCACAAAATACACCACATTTGCGCATCTCTACCCTAGCCTGTTGGATGGAAGCCTCAAAGTCATGAATAGGAGATCTACCCTAGTGGGGATAGTGGGGGTAACAAGGGAATACGGGCCTTTTTGGTGTGAAAAGTGCAGAAATAGACCTATAAGGATTAATTTGCACACCCACTATAGGATTCCAGTCTCGATCCTTCTCACCAGCCACCACCCACGCCCGGGCCTGCCCTCTCACCTTTCCCGCGCTCGCGAGGGATTGTGGGACAGTCCCCCCACCGCCGCGGGGAGCACTTGGCGCCCAATCCCCGCACCCACCCACCCACGCCTTTCCGCGAGTCTAGCCGCCAGCGTGGAGGTTTCCGAGACCGTTAGTGTTTAACAGCCTGCCTAGTTTAAGAAGTAGCTGGAAAAGTAAGCAAGTAATAATCCCACAGTGGGCTAACCGGGGTTCCTCGTGTCCCTAGAAGGAGAGATTAGACTCCTATACCGGCATAGAGTTGGCAAAGGGGGCGTCTGAGCCTAGCCGTGGAAGTGACTGCTTCTAAAAGGCAGAAGTTTGTGGGCATTGGGAGGCAATTGCCAAAAGAGTATTATTTATTTAAGGGGAGTAACTTGTACTCTATTTTATTAATTATTTTTATTTTATTTCTTACGTGGTGTTTGTGAGACAAGACCTCCCTATCTGGCAATCACCAAACTCATGGTCAAGCACTGGGATTACAGCAGTATGTCATCACGCAGACTGTCTCCTTTCTATTGATGATGATTTTTAGCCTTCAGGCTACCCTGTGCTTGTAGTGTTGAATTCGGGGGTGGGGGGGGGAGGTGTTGTTTTTGTTTTTTTGAAGTGCTTGGGCTTGAACTCAGGGCCTACACCTTGAGCCACTCCAACAGTCCTTTTTTGTGATTTTTTTTTTTTTTCGAAGTAGGGTCTCCCAAACTGTTTACCCCGACTGGCTTTGAACCTCGATTCCCTGATCTCTGTCTCCTGAGGAGCGAGGATTACAGGCATGAGCCACTGGTGCTCCCAGCAGGAGGGTTTAAGGATATTTGGAAACACAACTTCCTGCATGGGAGGGGAGACACCCACCATTTATTGCACTCTGGTGTAAAAGTGGTTGGGGGGCTGTGGAGTTTTCCCTAATTTGCTTTATTCACGATTTGTAAGTAGGGTATATTGGGGAGGGGGGGGGTCTAGTCGGAAAGCAGAGATCCGGAAAGTCAAGATTGGGAAGTTAGCCCAGGCAAAAAGTTAGCGAGACCCCATCTCAGCTATGAGCCCGGTGTGGTGGTTGATACATTTGTGACCCTAGCTATATGCGCAGCCATAGATAAGAGGAATATGCCTCGGCAAAAATGTGAAAACAGATTGGCGAGGGTGAGGAGGGGGTAAACTAAATGCAGAAAAAGGCTGAAGGTTTGGCTCAGGTGGTGGAGTACCTGCCTAGCAAGCAAGAGGTCCTGAGTTCAAACTCTAGAACCTCCAGGAAAAAAAAAATTATAAGCATTTGTATAACTGATCTTTCAAGGTAATGTTGATTATTTGCTGGGTGTTTGAAAAAGAGCATTTTGTACTTAGGCTTGGCGCTTTGGGCTACTTTTTTTTTTTTTTAAGCTATACATGCACTGGATTTTCAAATGTAGTTTTGCCAAATTTCATCTTTCAGACTTGCTCATTCAGGTTATGTGGATGTGGCTTGTTGAACTGCATCAGAAATCACAGTGACATACTTAATGCCAAACCTTTGAAGGCAGGAGCTAGTTTATATTGTTTGGCTTTTAATCTGTAGAGAGAATCTTTTCCTTTAGGTTTTATTTCAATACCAAATGGAAATATGGTATTCTGGGAAAAGGTTGCACCAAATGAGACCATAAAACACGTGTGGAATATGTAATTAAAATGACCAGTGACAACTGGTCA